TTTCCGAGGCAGTATCACTACAGAAGTAGGATTGCCCAACCTTCCTTCCGAGGAGTGGCTGGTGGGTTTGAACCGCCAGCCGTCTGGTTAGGAACTCGAATTTTAAATTTATCAATTCTGTGTATCTTCTTCCACATGGGAAAGTTCAGGGACCTCCTGCCGAGAAACTGCATTTCCACCTAGTGCCTAAGGCACTTGACTGCTAACCAGAAGGCTGGCGGTTCAAATCCCCCAGCCACTCCTGGGAAGGACAGTTGGGCAATCTACTTCCTTAGAGATACCGCCTCGGAAAATCTAGTTCTCGCAAAGTAAACCTGGAGTTCTCTATGTAGTAATTCACGTTTTCCCTCTTACCTCTGTGAAGTCGACAATGAACTCTTCTGTAGACTATCCTGGTTCCTTCTCTAGAGAATCTAGCTACTGATTATGAAAATGATGTAGAATCTCTTAATAAATCCTAGATTTAAATAAGATTTCCTTTATTGCTTTGTGTTTACAATTTCTCGTTTAGTTGTTGTTGTTATGTGCCGTCGAGTCAAACCCATCTCGTTTAGTAGAAGTGTTTAAAGATTAATGTTGCATCCTGTCCCCTTTCAAAACTAGATATATAAACCAGTACAACCTTAAATAGTGAAAAATATTTTAAAGGAATTTCTCTTCCCAAATAGGCTGTCTTATAACTACCACCTCCCATAACAAGGAAACCCGAAACAAACCCCCTGCTGTCGAGTTGATTCCAACTCACACTGACTGAATAGGACGGAGCAGAATGGCCCCACACGGTCTGTAAGGCTGTAAGTCTTATGGGAGCAGACTGCCTCATCTTTGCTCTTTAGGGGCAGCTGGTGGGTTCAAACCCAAACTGCAGACCTGTGGGTTAGCGGCTGCACCTATTACAGTTATTTGTGTGCATATCTTATGCTTTTTACTGAGTTCTTGAGGATGAACCAAATCCCTTGCATTTTAAAACAGGATTTCAAGCAGGAATATGTCATTCCAGTTGGACCCCTGCTGAGAGTGTGCCTTCACCCAGCCCACCATGCACTGAATCAGAATCTACACTTTAACACGATCCCTGGGTGAATCACCTGAGCAATGACTGGTTGGAAGCCCTGTTTTTAAAATGGTGATGAATGGACAGGAGGTTGGAGGTGTGTGGAGGGTGCAGCCAAGTTGAACCAATCTTTTCTCAGTAGTAAGGCTGTGCCACTTGCTGGTGACGCACTTGAGTTGAATTTTAGCTCAGATTGTGATTATGTAAAAAAAAAAAAAAAAAAAAAAATTGGCAGAGCTTTTCAAAAAAGGCCTGTATTTGTGAATGGTGACATCCAGTAAAGTAAATATTTGACAAGTCTAGTAAAGGCAAGTTTACTCAAGTGGAGTATTTCAGGTGACTTATTGGAGATGACTTGGCACTGGCTGACTATTCTTTTAGAGAAGGAGCCTTGGTGGTGCAGTAGTTAAGTGCTCGGCTGCTAACCAAAAGGCCAGTGGTTCCACTCCTTGGTAGAATGATATGGTCGTCTGCTTCCGAAAAGATGGACAGCCTTGGAAAACCTGTGGGGCAGTTCCACTCTGTCCTACAGTGTTGCCTTGGAATTCACTCGATGGCAGTGGATTTGCTGTTTTCTTTTAAAATTTTAGAATGCTTTAGGAAATAATATTTAATTAAAAAAACAAAAACCAAACTCACTGCCCTCTAGTTGATTCTGGCTCATAACAACCCCTTTATTTCCGAGGCAGTAAATCTTTATGGAAGTAGATTGCCCAGTCCTCCTTCTGTGGAGTGGCTGGTGGGTTTGCACCGCCAGCCTCTGATGAGCAGTCAGGTGTCTTAGGCAGTATGGGGTATTTGGTGTAGAAAGGATGGCTTGAGTGGAAAGGGTGAGTAATAGTGTGGAGAGGAGCTGCCTAACAATCTGTGGATTACATAAATATTCCTTAACAGTTTTGCTTGCCCATAGCAGGGGGTTCTCATTTTCAGAGTCTGAATATAGTCTGAACCATTCTGGAAGACGGAAAGAGTGAGGGTAGCTATTATTTTTTTTTGGTTAAGGATTTCTTTTTTTTTTTTTAATTTTTATTGTGAACCAGTGAAAGTTTACAGAGCAAATTCATTTTCATTGCAAATTCAAATTCATTTCATACAATAATTCATACACATTTTGTCTCAAGACATAGACTGCAATTCCTCACAAAGCAACAGCTCCCCTCCCACTTCCTCCCTCTTCCCTGTGCCCTTCCCTCCATGCACTCCTGCTCCCTGAGCTGTCTTCCTGTGCATACACAGCCCTTCTAGTCTCCCATGGTTGATCTCTCCAAGGAGTGTATCTACCTAGTATAAATGTTCAGCTCATATGCCTGTCGTTTGTTTGGCTGGAAGTCACAGGAGTGGGTTCATTTTCAGACCTGAAGGGCAGCTAGGGGACATAGGCTCAGGGTTTCACCAGGCTCTTTCAGACCAACAAAACCTGGTCCTTTTTTTTTTCTTAATGATTTTGTATTTTGTTCCTCCACTCTATCCAGGATCTCCTACATAGATCCCCATCCGAGTGGTTGACCGTGGTAGCTGGGCACCATCTAGTTCTTCTGGTCTCATAGTCAAATAAGCTGAGGATCGCATGGCGTACCAGTCCCTCGAAGTAATGGTTTCTATTGGTTTTCTTCATTTTTCTTTGCTCTGGATGAGGAGAGACCTATCATTGCATCTAGATGGCCACTTGCAAGTTTTTAAGATCCCAGTTGCTACTTGTCAGAGTAGGATGTGGAACAATATTTTGTGTAATGTGTTATGCCAGTTGAGCTTGATGTCCCCTGAGCCCACAGGTCCAACTACTTGCTTCCTCTGGGTAACTGGCTGTGGCCAAAAAGTCACCACAACCTTGTCCCTTGTCAGCTCTACTGTATACCTGGACATTCTTACAGAACATACAAATATGCTTGTAGATACTTCGTCTGGAGGTTGGTTATTTGTAAAGCAACCAAAACACCAGACCGTCTGCAGTCGGCCCCTGAGGACAGAGTGGAAGTGCCCCACACAGTTTCTGAGGCTGTCATCTTTATGGAAGCCAACTGGCACATTTTTCTTTTGCAGAGCAGCTTGTGGATTCAAACTGTCAACCTTTTGGTTAGAAGTGGAACACTCTAAGCACTGTGCCACCAGAGTGCTTTGCTATTTTTAAAGCCCTTCTTAATCCTGGTGTAATGTTTCCTGTCGAGCACCAGATGCAGTAATTTAAACACAGAGGTCCTTTAATAAAAATGTGCTTACATGATCCACCCTCAGCATGGGACGTTCCCAGTTGAACAGAAGATTCAATTTATCTTTAAAAACCTTAGCAGTGAGTATTATCAGTGTTTTGAATATTGCCATTTTGTCAGTTATTTTTCAATAAAACTGCCTGCATTTGGGAGATAAATGGGATTTTTTAATGTTCAGAATTAGCTGAGCAAGTGGTTTCCTGGTTTAAAATGAATATCGCGAAGGTTTCTTTCTCTTGCATCCTTGTATCAGCCCATTAATTAACTGAAAAGATGCTATTTAGAGGATTTTTAGTATTTTTTTTGATACCCCAATTTTTCAATGCTTCTCTGCCTGGATCTGGCAAAATCGCAAAGCTGCCGACTGGTAGGAAATCATCAAGGGGGGTCGTTTCTATTTTCAGGTTTGCTCCCCCCCAAATGGGTGAGCTTTCGGACTTAATTCTTACAATCAGGCTTCCCCTTTCTTTGAACCACCGTTTGCTTTCTCAAAGCTCATTCGGTTCTCCCTTTTCCTCCTAGCCTTGCGTTGCTTGCCTGAGCTTTCTCTTTTCTAAAGATGACAACCAGGCAGGCGTCTAGTCCCGTTTTCAGTATCTTTTTGCTGATGCAGAATGTCGTTGGTGCTCATTGTAGAAAACGTGGAAAGCTCAGGAGAACAGGAGTGTGCCTGGTGGAGGTGGGAAGCATTCCTGGGCCCCGTGGTTTTGATCTCGATGGTGGTTTGATTTTACGTGCTTGATCGTTCTCGGGATCCGATTTTATTTTCTCCTCTTGAGTACATCCTGAAATGTCTCCCATGGCATTAACACGGGGCTATGCATTCAGTGACCACAGCCGTTCTGATACGCTGATCATCTTTCATGCATGAATGTTCCCTCACATCCCTGGGTATTTCTGTACAGTGGAGTCTCCAGAGTGAAATTGGTGGTCTGAGAGCATAAACGTTTCCAAGGCTTTATAATGGCTACGTTTCTTTGTGCAGCTTTTCCATGTAGAATAAGTGGTAAGTGGAGTGTGAAACACATCACTGTGCCCGTTACTCATTTGATGGGTGAAATCAGTGTCTGGTTGTGTTGGTTCGTTAGTTGCCCAAACAGAACGTTAATTTTTAGAGTGGAGCATGAAGAACCCTAGAAATGAAGGCGGAAATGGATGTTTTAGACTTTGCAGTCATATTTTGGGGAAGATTTGTTTAGTAAGGTGCTCTAGTGGTGCAGTGGTTAAAGCACTTGGCTGCAAACCAAAAGATTGGCAGTTAGATGAGGCAGACTGCTTGCGTAAAGACTGACAGCCTTGGTGACCCTGTGGGGCAGTTTTGCTCGGTCCTGTCGGGCTGCTATGAGTTGGAATCAACTCGACAGCAGTGGGTTTTGGGTTTTTGTTTAGTAGAATCAGATACTTTTGCTCGCAGTCACTCACAGCCTACTAGGCTTCCATCTCTCGTGTTGTTGCTGGTGCATAGCTGGCCTTTTGAGATGAATCTGGTGAGATTGGGGACCTGCTGTCAGAAGAACGTGTTTACGTACGCCCTTCTGCGATTTTCTTCGGGAGCCTTTGCTCCCTCTGAAGACTGATCTGGCATAAAAGTCCTTCTAGTCGGAACCGTGGGAAGCAAGGATAGCAGGTGGGACTCTGGCAAGCTGAAGTTCCGGATTTTGTTTGGCAGTTGGCATTCCTGAGCCTACTGGATTTACCCAGCATTGTCAAGTTGGAGGGGAAGTAAGCCAAGTGTGATGCTTTGCGTATTTGGCAGCTCGGATCAGCAGCGTGGGATTTGTACAGGGCCTGGCTTGTCCTTGGCAGTGTCCTTTGGAAACATGAGTTGTCTTTGGAAAAACAAGTAGCAAAAATAATACCAACTCTGTCTAGTTTTTGGAACTTTTCTACTAATCTTGAATTTATCTTTAAAAAACAGTTTTTCCCAGACACGCTTCCTGTATATGTTCTCTAGCTTTTTTTTTGTTCTTAGTTTCTTCCATAGCTTGGTCATTACTTGAGGATAACATGATGATAACGGGTAGAATGGGGTACAAAACAGGGTGTGAAGCAGTGTGGTGGGCGCTGGTGATAAGGGCAGGTGGTGACTGGGGGAAAGAGCCTGGCCTCTGAGATATTTCATTCCCAGAACCAAACCCACTGCCCTTGAGTCGATTCAGACGCACAGTGCCCCTGGGAGGACAGAGTCAAACTGCCCCACATGGTTTCCAAGGCTGTGAAATTTATAGAAGTGGACTGCGTCATCTTGCTCCCATGGAGCAGCTGGTGGCTTCAAACCGCCGACCTTTTGGTTAGCAGCTGAGCACTGATCAAACCAGTTTGTCATGATAGGCTTTATTACCAAAACTAGTAATGGTAACTTCTTGTGGTTAATGGTAACTTATTGTAGTTTGAGCTTTTCTACTTCCTAATGAACCTCTCTCTTCAGATAATTGCTCTTATGATACGAATTTTTGAGATGAGTATTACAGAAATGCAGTGATGCTAGCAGAAGAGATCGTCTCTTTGGGCAATTTCCTGTTCATCTTTCGTGATTTTTTTCTGTTGATCTGATCCACTTAGTGAAAGGGCTTTTCAAAAGCCATTCTAAATGGCAAGGCTTTTTTTCTTTTTCCCCCAGTATTTTTGCTGTTCATCCTTTTCTATGACAGAATTGACCTACAGATGTTTTAGATGTCTGTGGCTGCCTGTCAGATTTCAGTTTTTGTAGTTTGTGTGATGTTTTAGATGTCCGTGGCTAGCTGTCGGGTTTCAGTTTTTGTAGTTTGTGTGATGTTTTAGATGTCCGTGGCTACCTGTCAGGTTTCAGTTTTTGTAGTTTGTGTGATGTTTTAGATGTCCGTGGCTAGCTGTCGGGTTTTAGTTTTTGTAGTTTGTGTGATGTTTTAGATGTCCGTGGCTACCTGTCGGGTTTCAGTTTTTGTAGTTTGTGTGATGTTTTAGATGTCTGTGGCTAGCTGTCAGGTCTCAGTTTTTGTAATTTGTGTCTTTGGTGTCCTGCTTCATAAGCCCTTCCCGTCCTCAGTAAGTCGCTCCCCTAGACTCCTGTTCTTTCCCCTTTTTTTGTGGGGAGCGGTGGTGGTTCACTGGGAGAACCTCACGTCCCAGGAAGGAGACCTGGGCCTGATGCCCAGCTTTCATGATGCTGGGATGCTGAACAGCAGTCAGCAGCGCTTCCAGGCTATGACACACTGGGAAGGAAGGCCTGGGCACGGCCTGCCGAAAAATCGGCCGACGAAGACACTGGAGCTCAGCGTCCACCCCATTGTGCACGGGGCCCAACTGCATGGCCCCCAATAGCAGCAGTTATCCTTGTAGGAGCCCAATCCTTCCTTCAGGCCTTTACCCTCGAAGTCCACCTGTCTCCTCCTCCCATGATGCTCTCCTGCAGACCCGCTTCCCCACCCTGGTGCCCCTGCCTCTACACCAGCTCCTCAGCCCCTCTTGTCCACAGCCTTGCCCAGCCCCTCAGAGTGACTCCCTTTGTCCTTGAGGATCATTAGGTACTACTGAGTTAAAAAGAAGTATGTGAGCGTGTCTATTTATAATAAAGCTGTCAAGTGGCACGGAAGGGTGTAAGTGACAAGGCACGGCCCCTGATCTCCCGTCCGTCTGTTTTACTGTGTATCCTTTTTGGCTTCTTCCAGCCCTCGGCACTTTGCACACATCTCCGCTGCAGCACTTATCAGGGCTTTATTGTAAATATTTATATATTTCTCCCCTTGTGGGCTCCCAAGCTTCCCCAAAGCAAGGGTCAGGTCTTAGTTCCCTCTTACTTTCTGCAGCCTTTGCCGTATGTGTGGTGCTCAACCAGTGGGTCAGAAGTGAGTAATGGACGTGAACTCTGGAGAGAGCCTAACCCCTGAGGACCTCTCTTTTCTTTGGACAGAGCCCTAGCCTTCCTACGTGGCGGACACGATGCTCTCCAAAGTAGCCAGTTTGCAGACTGCGGCTCTGCTTCGCCGGGGAGTTCATTCTTCAGTGGCTCGTGCTGTCTCTGTTGCAACCAAGAAAACCGTCCAAGGCCCTCCGTCTTCCGATGACATTTTTGAACGGGAATCTAAATACGGCGCTCACAATTACCACCCTCTACCCGTAGCTCTGGAAAGAGGAAAAGGTGCGTTTCCGGTTGGTCCAGGTCACTCATGTTCTCATTTTTCAGCTTGAAATCTTTCTTAAAAATTGGCTGCTTTTATCTTTTTTCCCATTTGCATCTTTGTAGATGCATCTAAGTTCTGTACTGTAGAGACAGCTGACACGACATTGATGGGGCATCTCATGTCGCTGTGGTAGGGGCTGTGGGCACATGTGAGCTCATTGAGTCTTGGTCATGAGGGATCTTGCCATTAGGGAGTAGTAGATACATACGTGTTAGGGCCTGAATTGTGGCCCCAGAAACGTGTGTTGTCGGTCCTGGCCTTGGAGCCTGTGGTTATAAACGTGTGTGGGAAGAGATTTTCTCTTCTGTTAACGAGGCAGGGTCAGTGTGGGGTGTGTCGTGAGTCTCTTACAGAAGGTGAAAGGGGCAGGTTAGGGCCCCAGAGATGGGAGAAGAGACACCAGGCCACACGGAGATCAAGAGAGGAGCAGAAGCTCCCAAAGACAAGGACCTTTCTCCAGGGCTGACAGGGCTTCCAGAGCCGGCACTCTGGCCCCTCAACTGTGACTGTTTCTGTTGGTTGAAGCTCCACCCATTTGTGGTATTTGTGTCACAGCAGTGCAACAGAACAGTGAAATACTGTTGTATTGCTCTGATTTCTTCTCTTTTCATCTTGGCATGATTTTAGACTAAGAAAATTTGCAGCAGTAGTACAAAACCTTAAATGGGAAATGTCCCCTGAAGTCATCTTGAAACCAAACAGTAGTTTACTTAGCTAGTAAAGAATGTGCCTTAAGCATTGAGCTCTTTTAAGACATATCTATATGGGATCAAGTTGATACAGCAACTGGCAGGAGTAGCTAGGAAACTTAGGGGCCAGGGAGTTTATGTTAGTGGGGGAGGAACAGCTCGGAAAAGGGGGTGAGAAAGGTCGTGGTCAAGGTTACTGTCCCCCTGGAAACTTTTGGACTGGCGGATTTTCTGCTGTGAATGCTGTCAGCAACAGCATCCCCACCCTGAGCAGCCTGGTCTGCGAGTGCTTGGTTTAGTTTCAGCCTGGCCCAGTTCCCGGTGGACAAGCTTCCTCTGTCTTTTTGTGTCATGTTTCTGGAGCTGGGACGTGCGGAAAAGGGGAGCGCTGAGTGCTGTGGGCTGTGGTGACGTCACGTGTGATGCTCCGTCAAACTGTGACTTTTATGCATTTCCTCCTGTTACTGATAATTGTGTTATTAATGGATCATTACAGGGCAGAGGAACATAAGTGGAAAAACTAAACAGTAGGACAAAGAATTTTCTTTGTCCCTCACCAGGTTGCCCAAATGCTAGAATTTTACCTCATCTGTTTTATGTCTGCTCTCTTCACACACACAGACACACACACACACACTCACCCCCAT